CTGGGCAGGGCCAGAGAAATGAATGTAAATTGTACCTTTAGACAGTAGGCTAGTTTCTGAACCCACCCACACCCTCTCTGTCCTCCTCCTCCCTAGCAACCTGCCATCATGGCCAAAGACAGAAGGACTATGGGCTTCAGAAGGCAGCCCCTAACGAAGGCTCAAAAATAATGACAGCCTGCCTCTTTTTTGATGAAGCAAAAATAAAAACGAAAAAGAGCAAGCAAGAGAGAGGCCATCCACCATGAACACCCAAGTCAGAAGGTCTGCATATTCCTCTGTTTGCTATTAAGATTGACATTTTACTAGTAAATAAAGAGAAAAATTCCTACCATCATCAGCTTCTGGCCTTTGGTGAATTTTAAAAGGATGTGAGAGAGAAGTGGCAAAGCAAACAGAGACAAGGGAATGTGAAAACAAAGACATGGACAAACACCTGTATTACTAGGAGGTAAAGAACCAACACACTCCAGAAGAACTCTCTTAAAAGCATTCAGCCATTGCTTTGGGGCATATGGGGTTGTTAGGGGAGGGATGGTACCTCTGGTGGGGGACTCCTCCTGGGGTAATTTGTCCAGTTTTGGTCCTCAACTTGCACTCAGATCTTTCCCGTGGCTCCTAGCATGCAACAGCGGCCACACCATGGGAATGGTTTTGACTGGCAGGATAAACCAGGTGAGGGTAGCTGATGGCGTGGGAATGTCCAGGGTGGCAGGAGAGGATATATTGTTTATTAATATCCTTCCTAACTTGTGCTAGCAAGTTCCTTTACTTAGCAGAGTGCATTCCCCTTTACACAGCAGAAAATTAGTTGCAAACTTGTGTGACTTTCTTAAGACAATAAACAATTCAATCTGGCTTGTCCAGATTGAAATGTGTTCTAATATTTTCCTGGTAAGACCCCTTTTAATCCCTCCTAAAAGAATAAAGACACCACAGTCTTATTCATAAGCAATAAAAAAAAAGTTTACTCACTATCAGGCAGAGCACAGTGTGATCCCTGAAGGCAGGCTTTAGGCTTAAAGTTACAAAACAGGTTTACCCCATAAGGGAGATGACCTGAGGAACTGCTTGGCTGGCAGCCAGCAGTTCATTCCAGGAAGTTCGCAGGACGAAAAGAAGATGGAAAAGAGAGAGAGTGGCAGCATGCCTTGGTCTTTTACCAGGTCTGGAAAGGTCACACCCACCCACTAGCCACATGTAAGGAAGGATGCTCCAGCCCCGGAGGAACAGGAAGTTTTGACTGGCTGGACCAAACACTCCCTTGCATGTCCACTCTAGCAAAACAAGGAATGTTGTATTTGACTGCTCCCAGTGGATTAAATCCCACAGATGGGTCTCAAACCCTCAGTGAGTTAGGGACTTCCCCTGTATGCAAAGACAGGCTCTGGTAGATGGAGCGGACGAGACCAATAGTGAGTCCAATAGGCAAGAAGACAGTTTCTGCATGCGCTCTAGAGGGAAGCTTATCAACCTGGGAAGATAGCTTTGTACATCTCCTTCTGGAAACTCCTGCAGCCAAGCTGGTGCCAAAAGCATTGCTCTGCTTTCCTTTGGACTATCTCAGAAAGGTTGAGAGGGGGAATCTGGGCAGCCCAGCACTTCCACACAGGCTGCACAGGCTTGTGCCCCAGGGAGGTAATTTCAGTATTGCTAACACGGCGGTTTGACTTCACCCCCGGAGGCACACTCCATTGTCTCTTGAGACAGATGCCAACAATTGCCTTCTTTGCATCTTCACTCTTGTTCATGTTCAAAAATTTGGGCTCAGTGCTTGGCTTGGCCTCTGAACATCCTCTACTGGGGCTTTAAGGGGTTTCTAGCCAACCTTTTTCCAGTCATTGCGTAAGAGGGTTCTACTCTGCCTTTTTCACCATTAAGTAGTTTTCCCTTTTTGCCAGCTCTTAACCAGAGTTCTACAACCGCTTAGCATTCCCAGTTCCCTCCTCCTCTTGAGTAACCTAGATAACTGTGTGTCATCAGCAAGTTTCAGTTCTGCTAGCACCCTTCTTGCCACCCATTAAGACATTTATAGAACGTGGGCCTTGGTTTAGATCCTTAGCCCAACCTATTATAACCTTTCATGCTGAGAATTGGCCATTTATTTCGGCTTCCTATCACAACTGTTTTTAATCTACAAGAGAACCTTACCTCTAACCCTAAAGGTGGCCACATTTCCTTAAACACCTGCCTTGTGTGGGGCTTTTTTTTTATCAAAAGGCTTTTTGAAAGTTTAATATATTTTCTCGCCAGCTTTCTCCTTCATCCATGCTTCTTAAGATGTCTAGCAGGTGGCTGAGCCAAGAAAAGCCTTGAGTCTTCAGATGACTCCCTGCACCCAAATGATAGATCTCTCAATTCATTTCCAGCTGTGGAATCTGGGAACATCAGCAAACAGTAGGAGCACATAGTCAGGTTTACCAAGCCAGGTTTCGTTTAAATGTTACAAGTTGTCACCTCCAGCCAATGGAAAGCTGCATGTTCCAGTGGTGCAACACAAGACAAGTACACCACTCAGAAATATGTGTTCGACAGTAGTCCTCAAAATAAATAATGTTGGCCTTATGAAACCCATCCCTCCCATTTATTGTGGAAGGAATAGCTAATAGGTATGTGACTCACTGCGCAGACTAGACACCAAGGGAAGGGTTAGTCAATGCCAAAAGTATAGTGATGCAACTGAATGCAGTGAGAAAATATGGAGATGTAGAGGTGCAGATACAGTGTAAAGTGAGGGTGGTAAACCTGCAGCCTTCCAGATGTTGCTAGATTGCAATTCCCACCATCTTAGAGCATTAGCCATGTTACATGGAGCTGAAGGGAGCTGGAGTCCAACAACATCTGCACAGGACCACAGGTTGGGCTTCCCTAGCGTAAGAGGTGGGCTCAGAAGTTCCCACTGCCTTTATTTATATCCCACCCATCAAAAGGCATTTCCAGAGCAGATGGAGGACCAACTCAGATATACCAGAGGCAAAAGTATGCAATATGACATGGTTATGTATGTGTGTGCACTGCTGTCATCCCAAGCATCAGTGCTTGAATTATAGAGGAAAGTGAGCTGGCTTAATGAAATCAACAGCCCCTCCCTGTTTTAGCTCCATCATGCTTTAGATTTCTAAAAAATAGTAGCTAAGGGGGACATCACAAAAGGGGTTGGGTCCCCCTGGCACCCCTGCAATTCAAGCACTACCAGACTTTAGAGGCACCAAGTCTACCCACCGACTCAACACAGTAAATTGGCTGTAATCAGTACAACTTGGGAGGAGTGGGGAAAGAAGTGGTACCTACCCACTGCTCATTACTGCCTCCTAGGTTGTTCACATTTTGTAGTCCGTCCATCCAGCGTTTGCATCTTCATCACAAATGTTGTCTGCAGCATTGGCAGATCCTACCTGCTTTTCATACCCCATGCAACAGGATTCAAAATTATTATGTTTTTTAAAACATTACCTAGCTCTTAAGAAAGTTTTCAAGTCCCTTTTCCAGAAGAACAGAGTCCATTAAGAAAAGCTGATTAGGTTGCAGCTAGAAGGTCTGATTGGTCAGGCTTCCTTCACATTCACACCCCGCAGCATTTGAGTTGAATATTGAGTGATTCCACACTACAAATAACGCAGCACATCACATGGGTAGGTCTAATTGTGCACAGGAGGGGGCTTCCCATGGAATCAGCACCCTTGGTGGATGCCAATTCTGTAAGATGGACCTATGTGTCCAACTCTACCATGTGGGTTGCACTGTTCAGACATTATTTCAGTGTGATGAAAACCAGGGAGGGAAGAAATTCACTTATCACCAGAACCTGTGTATTTTAAATAAGAGACCTACCAATATCACTTCTTAATGTTTAGTATTTTTGTTCTGTCTCCTGGCTTGGTAATAGCAACCATGTCAAAAATGTGCTGCCTCAACCCAGATATTGGAAAACACTGGCTCATTATGAAATTTAAAATCTACGTGCAGCTCAATAATTGCAAAAACAAAACAAAAGTCCTGGCCAGTCTTCTGAGAAGAAAAAAGCAAACCTGAGGCTCCAAATTCCTTTCAAGAAACGGCACCAAAAGAAATAATAGTTTTCTATTTAACACCAGGACCTTCAACCTTGCTGTTTGGTCACCAGTGGCAGGGAAAGGCAATTAAGAACTCATCTGGCAGGTATTCTCTGCAAGTTCTTAGGGAAGAAGGAGACTTTAGAAAAAATGTAGTCTTTTGCATGAAACACCCCGATTCACTCTCCTGCTAACGTAATGCAAGCCTTCCCAATCCATCACACCCCCATCTCACATACCCACTTTCCTCCAGTGTAGTGAACCATTTGTGAACTCTAGGCATTAGTCTATTCCCATGTAGGCATGCGGCAAAGCTATAGATGGGAATTCCATTATCTGGCCGAGGCTCCTGTAGCTCAGAAGTGCAACTGGCACAGGGCAGATTTTAGTGCTTCATTAACACTCTGATGAGGCCTGGCAGCCAGCTGATTTGATTTAAAGTTCATTTCCATGCTGTGATTTAAGGAAACGTTTGCTTAATGTTCTCTAACAGACTCCTCTGACTGTGAGCATAAGAGCTACTTAACAATAGGCTTTATTTATTGTCATGCACTCATGGTGCTGAGAAGACACAGGAGCTAGGCTGAGGGCAGTCTCTTGCAGGTGCTGCGTAAGCATTTCTCAAAAGTATCAGGGTAAATTCACTTTCCTGCACCAGCAGGGTAACTGGCTGTTTCCTTTCTTCTCCTCCAAGATCTGTTTTTTAAATAAAAAAACCCCCAAAGCTTAAAAGAATTCAGTTTCTTAGCAAAGCAGGCCAATACTGCTTGTTTCCAGAGCCAAGCAGAGAAGAACCTCTCCCACACATTTTTCCTGGGACTTTCAGGAGAAAGCGCCCCTCTTCCCCCAAAGTATGGTCAAGTGAACAGGATGGCACAAGCATGAGCCCATTTTTCCAAATACGTTCAACCCAAGCCCTTACCCACAAGAGAAGACAGGAGTCCAGAGAAGGGTTTGTCATATTTTAATGACGTTGATCTTTGGTGTTTCCCTCATTAGCACACTCTCCCCCTACCTTCCTGCTACAAGCTCACTGGGATGGAGAGTTACAAACGAAAAGGAAAATCACATTTTAGACTAGAAACAAAAAAATATCAGCGCCTTGATTTCTCCACTAGAAACTACATGTACAAGGTCAAGGTTTTTCACATGCAACACCTTACATCACAGACACATACCTCACGCTCTGACGCGGAGCTAACCCTCTCTTCCCACCCGCCCCACCCCGCCCCACACAGGGAAGTGCAACCTGGCCATGGCACCATGATCCCGCCAAGCCTCGCCAGGTTGAATTACTATTATTGGCACAGCAAGGGGTGCGAAGTCCTGGGCAACTTCTGTCTAAGTGCCATCTTTACTGGGGTGCGGTTCCCACCCTACCCACATGCTTTACAACTATAATGTTGCCCCACCCACAGCAGCCCCTAAGAGGGTCCTGCTTGCATACAAAGTAGATACTCTTAAAACAAAAGGCCCACACTCCCGAGAGGTTCCTGAGCATGAAGGGATGGTGAAGCCCAAGCACAGCTCTCCCCACCTCCAGTTCTGGGCTGGAAAGAAGAGTAGAACAGAGCCCTGGAGAAGACTACCTTGCCTCATCCAGTCTGCATTATCTCAAGCCATCCAAATCTTCAACTCCTGAAGAGTTGCCTAGCGCTTACTAGCAGGGTGGCAGGGAGTAGAACTCTGGCCTGGAAGATAAATCCACTCTGGTAGCAGAGCTGGGGTGCAAATCCCCTCCACAGTAGCACTTAAACATACACACTCAATAAAGGTTTCAGGTCTCCAAAAGGAAGAGACTACAGTCCTTTTTTATCTGATTAGCTGGTAAGTCAAAAGAAGGGAAAGCGTTTTTTTTTAAAATAAAAAACCCAAAACAAAGAGTAACATTAAAAGCACTGCAGGGTTAGGGCAAAGCTTAATGGATTCCTGTAGCCAGTGAGCTGAGAAATTTACATAAGGCTCAGCTGAATATCAAGGTTTATTACAGCTACTGTAGAAAATGTGCAGCAAAACGGATGCGGGAAGCTAAGACACAGAATAAAACCTCTTTAAGGATCCTCCTATACAACTGATGGTCTCCCTCTCATCTCCCACCCCTATATACCAATGCCCACTGAGTTACCAGCATCTGGTCAGAGCCAAAATCTCCTACTCCTTCAGTTCCTGGTCAGCTGTGAGGTACAAGTCTCTGCTTAGCAGTACAAGAGTAGCACCAACATACAATTCACCTCTACCTGTTCCGAGATTCTCCACTGGTGCCACCATTACTGTAGAAGTTGGTATTGTCAGGAAGATGGTTATTATTACTTAGGTCACTGTACTCAACTGGTCCCTCAGTGTCCATTAAGGACTGAGCCTGCTCTGACAGGCTCTGCCCACTAGCTTCTTCTCCCTCCACCTCGTCAGAGGACGTCCGTGGGCTCAAGCCACGCTCTGTCACCTGCATGGACTCAGAAAGGGTTCGTCCTTCAAGCTCAGATAACAGCTCCTGGGAAGTGGATGGCTGAGCTGAGCTACCATCTGTTCCAATGGATTCAGTGCCAGTTTGAGAACTGCGGTGGATCCGGTGACTCACAATGATATTGTTGCCAAAACCACCCATGGATGCCATGGTGGTGCTTTGCTCTCGCTGGACCACAGCAGTCATGCCACCCTCAGCCATCAGCCTTTGGATTCGGATCAGAGCATCCTCCCCAGAAGCCCCATATTCTGGACCACCTGGAAGAGAGGAAGAGGGAGGCAGCTTAATTTTTGTTTAGAAGATTGGTATCCGTATCTTTTCATCAAAAAGGCAGCTGACAACATTGTTTAAAACAGCCGCGCGCACGCACGCACTACAATAATACAACAAGGTAAAACAGAAAATAATATTAGAGCAGGAAATGTATGGATAAAATCTCACCAAACTTAAATGCTGTCAAAAGCCTGAGCATATAAAAATAGCTTTCAGCCAATGCCTGAAAGGCAGAAATCTGTAGCACAAAAAACGCCATGAAATAGGCAAAGAGAGAACAGGATGAGGAACACCAAGTTGGGAAAGCAAGCAGCATGTATAGGATGCTACTATGTCCTAAAACATTCTCAAATGTTTAAATTGCCTACAATTAGCCCGGTGGTTCCAAATAGCGTTCATATAATCACTGCATGTTGAGTACTCATTTGTTGTACTCATTTCACATATCTTCCTTCAGGAATGTGTTCTTTTACGTGTCTATCACTTTGTGAGCAGTACATACCGTATTTTTCGCCCCATAGGGCGCACCAGCCCATAGGGCGCACCTAGTTTTTTGTTTGGGGGGGAGGAATAAAGAAAAATAATTTTATTTTCCCCCCAGGCGCGGGGCTTGCGGAGAGCTACCCGAAGCCCGGGCGCGCCCAGGATTCGGGATAGAGGCAGCTCTGCGCAAGCCGTGGGAGGACTCCCATGGCTTCCGCAGAGCTACCCGAAGCCCGGGCGCGACTGCTCAGCGCGCTCGGGCTTCAGGATAGAGGCAGCTCTGCGCAAGCCGTGGGAGCCCGGCGGGAACTCCCGCAGGCTCCCAAGGAATGAGGATAGCTTCCTGAAGCCTGCATTCGCCTCATAGGACGCACACACACATTTCCCCTTCATTTTTGGAGGGGAAAAAGTGCGTCCTATAGGGCGAAAAATACGGTACCCTATGTTTTGTACTTCAGAAAAATCCAAACCCCTCTTTGCAGCAGCCACAGCACTGTTCTTTTGTAATTTATATGTAAGAGTTAAAATAGACAAGCAGCAGTCACACATTTATTGCTGGGCTGCACCATTACCTTCCACAAGTGTGTGAACTGATTGTTTGACCACAAAAGCTAATATGTCATGTCAAGAGAAGGCTAATGAAAAGCTTTCTCTTTAACTAGCTAATTATGTAAGAGCTCTGGGTACTTCACGTGGTGAAACATTCAACATCCATCCCCACACCCACAGTATGCAATGGGGTCATCCTGCAACAGTGTCATCATGTGGGGCTTCTGCTCCTCTGTTTAAGTTCTGGAACATGGCTAAGTTTTCACAAAATAGGCACCTATTGTATAAGACTGTGAGACTGTTGGTAACAACCAACATTTCTTAAGTGTTGTGTGCCCCACCGAGACCTCTTCAGTTCTACTTGTTTGAAAGGCCAGCAGCAACCTCAGCCCAGCACCACATCAAGCCTATTCTCCCAACAGTGATGGAATATTGCACATAAGAGGTAGAAGATTGGGACCAAGGGAGTTCAAGTGTTAATGCAACTAGCATATACTAAAGTACTATTTCACTGCCTACTGGACCACTGCATGCTACTGTCAGTGGCAAATAACCAATTTCTTTCTTATTAACATTTCATTTCAATTTTTGCTTAAAATAGGACATGTTGCAACATTAAGTGGTTCATGAAAACATCTACTACAGAAACAAGATACCAACCACTTCCAATCCTAGTAAATCTTCCACCTAGATAATATCCAGCTATAGATTCATTGGGTTGAATCTAATGTAGTCATAGAGTAGAACCACTGAAATCATGACTAGCTTAAATTTTATTTATTTCAATGTTGCTACCTTAAGGACAGCAAAGTATGGAACCAGCATATAGCCTTCAACCAAGAAAATTCATTTAGAGTGTGTGTGTGCGTGTGCGTGCGTGCGTGTGCGCTTGTAAATGAGCTCTTATTTATAGGTTCCCACATAGCATGAGACTTGTCCCAATAAATACTTGAAAATTGGCTGAACATTTTGAAGTTACCTTTTAACCACAAAAATCATTTGGCAGTCAACTAAGCTGTGGAGTGCACAACTCAACAGAGGTTTAAAGTAAAGGCATCCTTTTTGAAATCAACATTTTAAAACTGGATTAGCAGAATAATGTGCTTTACAGTCCCAAGGCCTACACCCTCATAACCTGCATCCAAATGTGATGCAAAAAAAGTGGTCCGCTGTTGGATTGCTCAACCAAAAGTGGAAATAAGAGGTATGCACATTTTTCAATTGTGTCTGCTTACTAAACAAGTCACTGCCCCCTTTCCTCTCAGACTGTGGAAAAAAGCACTGCCTATTCTTCAAGCCCTCAAAGAATCATGAATTGTGGAAAGAATGGTGCCCCAAGGAATAATTGTAGCTAGAGAAAAAAAATGGCTCACTGGAACAGCCTGGTGGAAAGATCAGCAATTAGCTGCCTCTCACTTATAGGCTGCTGAAAAGAAATATCCTTATTCAATGGAATGTTCTGAATTGCTCCATAGAGGGATGCAGCAGCCACAGGCTACCTGATCCTTATTAAAGATATTAATCTTTCTTCCAGCCTTCAAAGAGCCATCAGGTCCAATTACAAGAGAGGAAGAAGTGGCCAAATGCTTCCTAAGCAACAGGCAAACTGAACAGAACATTGGAAAAAACAACAGCTTAAAAACTAATGTTGAATGAAAAGCAAAATAAACTAACACTTAACACACAGTTATGTACCCAATATAGCTTGGAATTATTTGCCACAGTACAAAGATACTAGAGGCACAGGTGTGCAGAGTATGGAAGCAGATTTTCTGTCAAATGTGTACTAGGAAAGCATGCAATGTACCATCAAATGCTCCTCTAAGTTCCCATAGCATTAAGCAAACAGAAAGGAGTTCAAGTAACCTACATGAGAATGTTTTTCTCTAAGGAAAATGCTTTTTACATACTGTTTACACTACAGCTTTCCCCTGGGATGAAAACTGTTAATAAGCAATACTGACATTAGGTGCTAAAAGTAGACAAAGAATCTTAATTGGAATCAATGCTATTTAGCTTATTCATAAAGTGAATCAGAGGAGTCAGAGGTGAGCAGTAAGTTAGTCCAGTTTATGGATGACACATTATTCAGGATAGCAAAAACCCAAGAGGACTGTGAAGAGTGTTAAAAAACCCAAAACCTCTTGAAACTGGATGAATGAGCAACAAAATGCTGGATGAGGTTAAAGGCAAGTTACATACAAACTGATATATACTGAGACAAAGATAACACTTCAGTTGATATCTGAGATAGCCAGGAAAGAGATGTTGACATTGTGGCATATAAAAAAGTAAGAACCTGCTGATTGGATCAGGCCAAAGGCCCACTTAGTCCATAGAATCATAGAATCATAGAGTTGGAATAGACCACAAGGGCCATCGAGTCCAACCCCCTGCCAAGCAGGAAACACCATCAGAGCACTCCTGACATATGGTTGTCAAGCCTCTGCTTAAAGACCTCCAAAGAAGGAGACTCCACCACACTCCTTGGCAGCAAATTCCACTGTCGAACAGCTCTTACTGTCAGGAAGTTCTTCCTAATGTTTAGGTGGAATCTTCTTACTGTTTAGGTGGAATCTTCCAGCATCCTGTTTTCACAGTGGCTAATGAGATGTATATGGGTAACCCACAAAGAGGACTTGAGGCAGGCCTCCTACAGCTGAGGTATAGAATAGCTATCATGGGTGGTAGCTCTATGAAAAAAATGGCCAAAAAAACCAACTGGGGGATTGCAGGAAAAGGAAGGACACTTCTAGAGGTGATCTTCTCTTCTTTTATACAAATATATCTTCTATCCTAAGCTGTAGAACAAAATATATACACCCAGAGCAGCCTTGGTGATAACTTGGAGAAGTTTACGGTCATGTTCTACCATGAGTTTGGCATCCCAAGTTTCTCAAAGCATTCCCCAATACACTCAGAAGAAAATATTACCCCAGTCAGCATGTGCTTAGTTTAAACATTCCAAAATTCAGAGTAGTCATGACCGTCTGCTACATGAAAAACAACGAAGTCTTGTAGCACCTTCAAGACTAAAAAAATATTATGGTATACAGTAATACATGTTAGTCATTAAGATGCTACAAGACTGTGTTGCTGCAAAGTACTAAAATGGCTACAAGACATTGGAATGCCTAAATAATTTTCTTAAGACCTTAAGGTGCTACAAGACTTTTTGTTCTTTCTCCATCCTTAACATCTACATTTTGGGAAGCTACCCTTCTATAGCTTTTGGTGAACAAAATCCCAGTTTATGCGAATCACAGCTATAAATGTAAGCTGTATTTAAGCAACTTATATTACACAAATGAGAAAAGATGAGTAAGGAGTGACATGATGACAGAAGTTTATAAAATTATGCATGGCACAGAGAAGGTGAACAGCTTTTTCATTTCAAGAAGACTCCAGTCCAGTAACCAATGCAGTATTACTATAGCTAGTGGACAACAAGGAAAAGGGGAGGGGGGGGTCCATGTGGTTTCTCCTCTCTGAAGCTATTCATAGCAAAAAACTTCACTGCACTTACCCATCTGCTGAGAATACATCAGGAAAGGGTGACCATCTTCAAGCAAGGAAGACCTTCAGGCATTATCTCTTATTATTAGCAAATCCTACCCTTATCTCAAGGGTATTCAAACTTTAGCTAAATCTAGCATCTTTCATTGGATACTGTTGGAATGACTTGGGCGAGGTAGATATTAACTACACCCATAGACCTTCTGCTTTATGTGAACAAAACCAGCCCCAAGTACTAAAAACCATCTAAATATTTCTTAGCACCTGACGTCTTCCCTTTGTACATCTTTGTCATATAAAATGAGGAGCTCATCCTTTTTAGAAATGTAAGTCTACCACACTTGTCAGCTATTGCTTCACTTGAAAGCCCTAGGATGTGCTGAGCCTTTCAGGCAGAACATGCCAACATGCTCTTCCTTCCTGGCTTCCTCTTCCA